CAGGAGCAGGAGGAGGAGGATGATGGAAGTGGTGGGTAAGAAGAATTTTCAGAGTTAGTTGGCGGCGGAGAGGAGGAGGAAGAGGCGGGCGGGGGGACGGTGGTTGGTGCCGTTCGAGAGGCGCAGTTAATCCGAAGATGTCCAACAAGTCCGATTCGAGCCCGGAATGTCCGTTGACATCGAGGACACGTTGGAAGCGGTTGTGCGGCGGCATTGCGTACTGGGCGAAATTGTGATTTGCGAGCTTCACGTTTCGCTTTGGCGGCAGCGATGCGGTTGGCTTCGTAGATCGCAGCGCCTGTCTTCACTGTCCTCCTCCAGGACGGTCGATCAAGTGCGAGCTCCTCCCAGTTGGTGGGGTTGATTTGCAGGCATTTCAGAGAGGACTTCAGGGTATCCTTGTAACGACGAATCTGGCCTCTTTGACGGCGAGAGCCCGTCGCGACGTCTCCGTAGAAGAGTCGTTTGGGTAGTCGCTCGTCGTCCATGTGCACCAGGTGGCCGCTCCAACGCAGCTGAATTTGCCTCAGTATGGCGTAGATGCTGAGGATTCCCGTACGTTCTATCACATCAGTGTCGGGGATTCGATCCTGCCACTTCAGCCTCAGGATGCGACGAAGACAACTGATGTGGAAGTGTTTCAGACGACGTGCCTGCTTTGCGTACACCGTCCAAGTCTCCGCTCCATACAGTAGTGTCGCCAGGATGACGGCCTTGTACATCTTCAGCTTCGTGCTCAGCTGAAGACCGTGGCGATTCCAAACTGTGCTTTGGAGGCGACCGCAGGCTTGACTGGCTTTCGAGATCCTGTTGGCGACTTCGTCATCGACCTTGGTGTTGCGGGAGAGAGTACTGCCCAGGTACGGGAAGTTATCCACAACTGGCAGTTGGGTTACGTTCACGCTGATTTGCGGCGGCGCTTTGGGGGCTGTGGCTGAGTTGGGTGGCGGTTGATGCATCACCACTGTCTTCTGCGTGTTAATGACCAGACCGAAGTTCTCGCAGGCGGCGGAGAAAAGGTCCATGCTCCGTTGCATCTCCTCTTCCGAGGTGGTGTTCAGGGCGCAGTCGTCGGCGAAGAGGAGTTCGTGCACGGTGGTTGTGGATACGCGCGATTGGAAGTGCATCTGCCGTTGATTCAGGAGTTGACCGTTCGTCCTGTAGGCGATGCGGATCCCGGGGCGTTCGTCGCGGTAGGCGTCCATCAGCATGGCAGCGAACATAAGACTGAAGAGGGTAGGCGCCAGTACGCAGCCCTGCTTCACTCCATTGGTCGCTGCGAATGCCTCTGAGACAGCTCCGTTGTCCGTGACTCGCGCCATCATACCGTCGTGCAGCTGACGCAACATCTGAGTGAATCACTCCGGACAGCCGAATTTCTGCATGATCTTCCATAGTCCTTCACGATTCACGGTGTCGAAGGCTTTCGTCAGGTCCACGAAGGTAGAGTACAGGTGGGTTCGCATCTCCTGACACTTCTCCTTAAGTTGGCGGGCGGCGAAGATCATATCCGTGGTCCCACGATGACGACGGAAGCCGCATTGGCTTTCGTCCATTCGTTGCGGTCCGCGTATCCTCGAATCTCCTCAGCTATGCGAGCAGTCCAGGCGTCCTGCATCTCGCGCAGTCGTTGCTGAAGTTGGCGGCGACTGCGGTAGAAGGCAGCTTTGGTGGCATCAGTGGGGTGATCTACGTAGGCTTTGTGTAGGCGGTTCTCCTCAGCAAGCAGATTTCTGATGGCGGCGTCGTTGTCGTCGAACCAGTCCTCGTGTTGGCGGGGAGCGCGACCGAGGACGGCGTGCGTCGTCGACTGGACCGTGTCTCGCAGTTGACACCAGCGGTTCTCCACGGAGGCGTTCTCGGCAGCGGCGGCGTCGGCAGCGATAGGAAAGTTGTCTAGCCTTTGAGCTAGCTCATTGCTGAAATGAAGATGGTGAGCGGGCAAAGACAACAAGGCAACATTCAGCTTACCTGGGTGTCGCTTACCTTGTGGTCTCCTGCGAGGCTGTAGGCGAATACGCATCTTCGAGATGACGAGGCGATGGTCGGTCCACCCGTCAGCACCCGCGATCGCCTTTGTCACCAGCACGTCCCGCTGATCTCGCGTCCGGACGAGGACATAGTCCAGCAGGTGCCTCTGGCGCGACCGAGGATGCCTCCAGGTGGCCTTCTCTCGCTCCGGCAGACAGAAGAATGTGTATGTCAGGATTTCAGTTCAGTTCAGTTTATTGAGGGAAATAGGCGTAAGCCTTTGAGTACCCTATTTGCAACGTAAAAAATGTGTGGTGTACAGATAGATGTTCTGGGCTGAAATAGTTCGAACACGCCCATAATGGTGGGACAAAATGAGAAGGAGTTACAGGGGGTGAGCTCTACTTCTCATCGCTCTTGGTCATTTCGGAACATAAATATGTCCAGATTCTTCTTAAAACTTTGTATAGATGGTGACATCACAACATCTGCGGGAAGCTCAATCCATGGTTTGACCACCCGAACCGAGAAGGAGAACGTCCGCACATCCAGCCGTGCCTGCCGAGTGCGCAGTTTTAACGGGTGACCTCGGAGGTTAGTCGTGGTAGCAAATTCAAAGAAGTCCTCGAAGGCCAGACTGCAGTCCAACCCCTTTGCAATACGGAAGGCTTGCAAGAGATCTCCGCGAAGTTGCCTGTAACTCAAAGGAAAGAGGTTCAGATTTACTGGGCGGGTTGCATAAGGAAAAGAGCTTTGACCCCTGACCATCTTCGTGGCTCTCCTCTGGACTCTTTCGAGGCAGTTTTGATCCACAACAGCCCACGGCCTCCAAGCTTGTATGCCGTACTCTAAATGCGGCCGGACGAATGTTCCGAATGTCTTAGAGAAAGCTTCTTCGTCAAAGTCCATAAACGCACGCTTGATGGCGTACAGTACAGATATTGCGGTTTTTGCCACCCTCGAAGAGTGGGCGGATGGTTTTAGGGAACTCGTCGTCAGCACACCCAGGTCCCTTTGGGCTTCGACCTCTTGTAGGGCTGCACCGCCCAGAACGTAGCCTCTTGTGCTGGCGGATCTGGCTGTGTTGCCTAGGCGAAGTATGCTACATTTGGCAACGTTGAACCGCAGGAGCCAACGGTTTGACAACTCCTCCAACCGATTCAGGTTCATCTGCAGTCTGTCTTCATCGGCAGGACCCCAAATTACACTCCATATCTTCATGTCATCCGCAAACATTGCTACTTCACAGTCTAAATCTCTTGCGGCATTGTCCACGTAGATAAGGAACAAAATGGGTCTCAATACTGAACCCTGGGAGACACCACTATCAAACGTAGCCAGATCTGATTTTCCCCGACCGACGCACACAACCTGCTGTCGACCCACAAGGAAGTTTTCGATCCATTTAAGGAAGTTGCCACCGAGCCCTATTTTTTCAGCTTATGTAAGAGCCTTTGGTGTGGCACAGTGTCGAAAGCCTTCTGGAAGTCGATGAAGGCTATGTGGACCGCGTGCCTGTCGTCGAGAGCTTGGGTCCAGCTCTGGAGAGATTGCAGCAGGTTTGTCGTGCAGGATCTTCCTTTTCGGAACCCATGTTGGCATTTCGATAGCAGGCCGTGAACTTCCAGGAATTGCATCAGTTCACACTTTATGATCCTTTCCATAACTTTGCAGAGGATGCATGTCAAGCTTATGGACCGGTAATTTGTCGTCGCTGCCCTGTTACCTCCTTTGTGTAGCGGAGTAATATGCGCCAGCTTCCAATCGACAGGAAGTGTTCCAGTGTCAAATGACGTTTGAAAGAGCATCGACAAAGGCACAGAAAGCTCACTGGCAAGTTCCTTGAGAAGCTTGGATGGAATCTCGACTCGTCCTGGCGACTTCGATTCGTTCAATGCCTCTAAATCTCTTCGGACAATGTCTTCTGAGAAGAGTATATCACTGACGCTTGGAGTCGGCAGTTCTTCTGTGGAGGGAGGAAGGAACCTTGCCTCGTTTGTGTAGACTGATTGGAAAAACCGTGAAAAATACGCAGCTTTATCCATACTATCAGCGATCTCAACGCCATCAGTAGTCTTTATCAAGGGGATTTGATGCCTGTTCCTTGTGCATCGACGGAGGTAGCTGTAGAGCGATTTTGGGTTCTACATTGCTTTTTGTAGCAAGTTCTTCTCGAATCCCCTCCGCGTCTGCATTATCAGCTTCCTCAGTTTGTTCCTCTGTGTCTTGTAGGTGTTGAAGCATTCAGCTTGTCTAGTGACGCACTATTTTCTCCACAATTTGTGCTTCCTGTTGATTTCTTTCTTCAGGTTGCTATTTAGCCACCCAGGGCGTTTGTTCAGTCTTACACTAGTCAGTGGGCAGTAGTTGTTGATGAGCTGCAGAAGGACATTCTTGAACAGCTCCCAGTCATCGTTGGCACTTCCCGTAAACAATGAGTCCCAGTCAAGACCAAATAAGTCTGCCCTCATCTGATTGAAGTCGCCCCGCCAAACACTACGTCTTTTGTGGTCTGTAGTAAGTGAAATGTAGAATAACGAATAATCCCACATAAGCACTACGTGGTCACTTTGCCCAAGGGGCGGGATGGAGGTGATCTCGTCCATGCTGTCTGGTGTTTTCGTAAAGACCAGATCCAGGCAGTTTGCCCTTTGTACTTCACGTGTTCTCGTTGGGAACATTACATTTGTGTGAGGCACGCATTTAATGTCTTACTCAACAGGCGGCAATCGAATGCCGATTTTGGACCTGACGCTTGGAGGGTTTTCCAGTTTGTTCCTGGTGCGTTGAAGTCGCCCATGCGGTGTTCTGCGCAGGTGCGGAGAAGCAGCAGACCATTGTCGTTTGAGCCGCGGAGACCGTGGGTACCCAGTACTCCTCTCCAGGCAGTATGGTCTGTGCCGACGCGGGCGTTGAAGTCGCCAAGGACTATCAACTTGTCCGCCTTCGAAACAGTCGCCAAGAGGGCGTGCAGGTCCTCGTAGAATTCTTCTCTTGCGGCGGCGTCGGGGCTGCTTATCGTCGGAGCGTAGGCGCTGATGATGGTGGCGAATTGGCCTCCCCAGAGATGCAGACGGAGGCCCATCAGGCGATCGTCGATGCCCTGCGGCAAACAGGGCAGTCGTCCCACGATGTCGTTCCGAATAAGGAAGGCGACATCCGCGTACCCTGGGTCGACCGATCCAGAAGAAGGTGTAGCCGGCACCCACCTCCTCCAGTTGGCCTTGTTCGGAGAATCGGGTCTCGCTGAGTGCAGCGATGTCCACCTTGTAGCGCGCTAGTGCTCTTGCCCCTGCCGCCGTCCTCTGTTCCGGTCGGTTGCTCCTCGGATTGTCTAAAAGGGAACAAACATTGCAGGCTGCCAGAATGAGCGGGCTCACCCTGCTAGTCTGGTGACGAGCGGGGCGACGGGAAGGAGATGGAGAAGGTGACGAAGGAGAAGAATAGGCAGAGGCAGAGGAAGAAGAGGTAGGAAGAGGAGAATGAATATGGTTGTTGTTGTTGTTGTTGTTGTTGTTGTTGTTGTGATTGGTATTGTTGATGTTTCGGTTTTGATTGTTTCGACCATGATTAGACGTCTGCGGCCCCGGCTAGCCTGGAGACGGCGTGGTACTCAGCAATGTTTAGGCCACCTTTTCTAGGCCCTTCCACTCGTGGGGGCTGGAAGTGCCATCCCTGAATAGGGCTGCCATGTGCCGTTGTGGCACGGCCGAACTCCACTATGGGACCACGACTTCGGGTTGTAGTGGAGAGCGACTCGAATTCGCCATAAGCCGCGGTCTCCGACGGCGTGCAGAGACGAACCACGTCACGACGGTGCCGACGTAAGGTTCCATCCAGCGGAATCCGCAAACCCTGTGCACACGGCACAGTGCACAGGGCCCCCTCACCTGGTTTAGCGCGCTGGTCGAGACGGTTGCCCGGGGTATGGCCACTGAGCAGAGTCCATTTACGTGGAGCCACAGGTGAGAGTTGAGTGCTAGCAAGTGGACGTTTGGCGCAGTTTCACCTGCAAGGAAGTGAGCGACCACCACGACCATTACGTGAACCCACCGCTGACACCCATACACCCCTCTTTACGGATAGGCACCAAGTCGTACAACCGATATAACTTGCTCCACAGGAGTAAGCGATGGAGTAAGTGCTCACTGTCGACGTCAGGAAGAAACACTGTTAAGACAGTAAACTAATCGATTTGGCTATTCAGATAGTTTTATAACAAATGATGATAATGATGACTTTAATCTCTCTAAAGTTGTTAATATACCATTTCATGCCATATGACCCGAATGGCCTTATTACCTGCCTAATTAAAAAAATCCTTATGCAAGCTATTCATAATGCCTGTTTTACAGCATCACGGAGGGGCAAATATGCATGTAATTATTTCGAAGATCAAAAAAAAGATTAAACATCAAATGTGTTTTAAAACATCAGCGATTACTTTGAAAGCGACCCGTAATTAGTCGCGTATTTAAACCCGTCAGGTGAGAAGTATGACAGTTGTGTTAATAATAAGAGGACATGTTTCCGGTCGCTCTGTTGGCTATCCTTTTGTGGTCCGTCTTGGCAAATGAAACATCTTTTCATCAACGTGTGGTCGGTATGTCCGGAAATTAGCATTTGTTTCTATACCAGCAAATGAAATAATTACGTTTTTATTCTGCCCGACTTTGTGCTGGCCCGCTCGAGCGAATTTATTTGACTGTTGAATATTAGGACCGTTTGCACCTTCCTTAATATCTCCTTAGGGTTTTGCTTGCGTCGTTAGTCTGACTTAGGGTTAAGTTTATGCTTAAATACTGTTATATGTTCGAACATAAGATACCATGCATACAGTATATCAGAACAAAGCGCAAGTTAAAAATTTTTTAAACATTTTTTTGAAACCAAAATTCTCAGTATTCGTGTGGTTGCGAATGTTGAAAACAGAAATGCTTGGCACAGTCAAGGCTTGGGGAAACGCAGATACCGAAAAAAATTAGTTGACTGGCCAAAATTTAGGAGGTAACACATATATGATTATATGAATTTAACAGAGGTTGTTTCTTGAAAAAAAGCGGACCATATTAGTTAATGTTAGCGTAGGTCAAAGACAAATTAAAGAGCTCTTTAATTAGTCCACGACATACGCTAACATTCTGACATAGACGCAGAGTCCAAAAATCACGAAGACAGACAGAAATTAAAGAAGAGTCAATCGAAAAACAATGAGGCATGCGGTAGAAAAATGAAAAAAACTCACAAAAACGGTATGGACATTTAATGAATATCGAAAACTGACAAATATTTGCACGTGCAAAAGAGACGAAAGACCACAGGCAGGTGGGTGAAAGAAACGTAAAGTAGACAACATAAAATCAAATTAAAAGGGACAAAAAGCATAAAAAACGAGCGCAAGATTTATACCTAAAATACGCTCGTAAATGCAAACAAAATTGCAAGGAAATAATAACGAGAAAAAATCAAGAAAAAGGTCGGGATAATGGTCCATAAAATACACGAAAATGAAGGCTAAAAAAATAATAAAAAAAAAAGAGGAAGTGCGCATTACACTCTGAGATGTGTGCAAAAAATATAAAGTTCTGTAGGCCTTGACAAAATAGATAATTGCTATGTAGTAAAATGGAGATGGCATTCGGAATGATGATTTGCTGTCTTACAACAGGTTCGACCACAGCAGTGACAGGTGAGCCAGGATTACCAACTGCGGACACCACAACTGAACCCGGTGAGGGTAAAGGCACGTTAGCCTTTGAATGAAATCGCAAGTTCTTACTTGCTTTGAGATGAATCATGCTGAATTAGGAGTGTCTGAGATGGATTGATGAAGTGAGATTGAGAAGGTAAATGGCAGGTGAATAGGTGGGGATATTTTGTGGTAAATGTGCATGTAAAAACGCAATTCTTGGGGCATGCAATGCATGTCTGTAGTGACAGGGGAGAGATGCGAAAAATATGACGTGCACATCCCAATATCGGTATCTGAGATGAAGTGTGATATTGCCTGCGATATAGTCGGGAGAGATATAAGTTTTTAGGTGAGACGAGCGGAAGCATATATCTACTCAGATCTGCTGTTGCGACAGTTCTGACTTCTGTGCAGAATGACAATACATGCAATGAAGTTCTTATTACTCTCTGTGATGTGTGCGGGTGTGTTTGTGTTCTCTAGGTCCTGTCAGATGAGGAGATAGATATTTGCTTTGTAGTGAAATGGAGATAGCATTCGGAATGATGATTTGCTGTCTTACGACAGGTTCGACCACAGCAGTGACAGGTGAGCCAGGATTACCAACTGCGGACACCACAACTGAACCCGGTGAGGGTAAACGCACGTTAGCCTTTGAATGAATTCGCAAGTTCTCACTTGCTTTGAGATGAATCATGCTGAATTAGGAGTGTCTGAGATGGATTGATGAACTGAGATTGAGAAGGTAATTGGCAGATGAATAGGTGGGGATATTTTGTGGTAAATGTGCATGTAAAAACGCAATTCTTGGGGCATGCAATGCATGTCTGTAGTGACAGGGGAGAGGTGCGAAAAATATGACGTGCAGATCCCAATATCGGTATCTGAGATGAAGTGTGATATTGCCTGCGATATAGTCGGGAGAGATATAAGTTTTTAGGTGAGACGAGCGGAAGCATATATCTACTCAGATCTGCTGTTGCGACAGTTCTGACTTCTGTGCAGAATGACAATACATGCAATGAAGTTCTTATTACTCTCTGTGATGTGTGCGGGTGTGTTTGTGTTCTCTTGGTCCTGTCAGATGAGGAGATAGATATTTGCTTTGTAGTGAAATGGAGATAGCATTCGGAATGATGATTTGCTGTCTTACGACAGGTTCGACCACAGCAGTGACAGGTGAGCCAGGATTACCAACTGCGGACACCACAACTGAACCCGGTGAGGGTAAACGCACGCTAGGCTTTAAATTATTTGTACAATTTTTTGATGCTTAGTTTTGGTTCATCCTATCTCTTTCATTTTTGATTTGATTTTTGTATTTTGGTTTTTTATATTAATTGCGTGATTGTTTTTTTATTGCATGAGACTTTGAATTTTTTTGAGTGCATCCTCTTCTTTTTTGTTAATCCGCTTTTTTTCTCTCATCGCAGTTTTGGATTTCGCGATGTTCCTCTCCCTTCCCTTCTGTTTTTCTTTTGTTAATATCTCTTGATATTTTTTATTCCAATTTCTTTGCTTTTTGTAAAGAGTATTTTTTGTGATTTGATTTTTTTTCCTTTTTATGTTTTATTGCCTTTTACTTCTCTCTTATCGGGTATTTTGCCTTTTTTGCATAATAGTTTTTCTTTCGCTTTTTGTTGTTTTTTTCATTCGGAAAGCGTTTATTTGATTTTGATATCTTCTGAAACCATTTTTATCTTTATTGTGTTTGTAAAAGCCATATTTTTTGTTTATCATTTGACCCCTTTTTATCGACTGCTATCATGTTAGTCTTTTTTATTCCTTTTCTTGAAGTTTTGTGCATAATCTTAATTTTTGCATTTTACGAAAATCCTTTGCCATCCGCCTCTGATTGCCTGCGAAGGTAATTTTTTTCTTTGCTTCAATTAGTTAGGTTTGAGTGAAAACTTGCCTCATTACAGCAGTTATACCCACATCATTGGAAAGTGTATCAGGATAATCCCCTGGTGATGTTTTAACGGGGCTCGCTGTCTATTTACATATTTGTTTTGTTTAAAATCAGAAATTATCCCTTTTTTAAAATAAATCCTCCTTGCAGAGACAGATTAAAATAATTTGTGAAATGCTTAACTTAACATACACCTGTTCATTCATATTTGATAATTTATTTGCTACTTTTTTATGTCCATTTGCATGATATTAACAATGTACTCTGTATCGTTGTCAGATGAAACATTGACACCATCAACTGATGCGCCAACTACGCCTGGTGAGTTCATACTCACTAATGCCTTTCAACTTACCCAGGAGGTCTCATTTGGTTTGCGTAAATTGCTGTTGTAAATCGAATTTTGCAGTTACCCTTCCTGATGACGCATTTTTCGTCATAATCACCTATTGATTTAGTGAGACTGATAGTCATCTGGTGGATTCAAAATAAATTTCCTGGGAAATCCTGCTTGGGAATTAAAACAGTATTGATCTCTTTTGTTTTTACTGTCTTGTCAAATTACAGGAACGTGTTTTCAATGTCGGTTTTGTTGTTTCTATGTACAAGTTCCGATTTCTTTTGTCGATTTTATAAGGCCAATGTTTCTCGTTGTTGTACCTTTTAATATTTTTGTTTTTTTCTTTCCTTTTTACCGCATGAATTATGCGTTGTCATCTTCAATATTTTATTCCGGAAAGTCCATCGCCTAGATATTTCCTGCCATTGGTTATTTTTGTTTCCAGATTTTTTGTTATGTCGTCGTTATTTGTCAATCCAGTGATTTGTATTCTGATGTCTCTGCTAAAGACTATGGTGTTTAATATTTTATTCAGAACTTTTCCCAACCGAAAGAGCGTTGCTTCTATGTTTACTATTACTCTGATCCTCTATCTTATTATCGCCTAGTCCAATCGACATCCAATGCTTTTTTATTTTCTCGTTGTTTCCAGATTCAAACCAACTGAGTGGTGGAGCAATCGCTGGCATCGTTATAGGCGTTCTGATTGCCTTGATTCTCGCCGTCGCAATCATCTTATTCATCATCAAAAGGAACACTCCGTATGCAAAATATTTAAATACGTTTTTTTGGCAAAGCTGGTGGCGTCTTTCGTTATGTGATTTTATTCCATATTGGTTTTATTATGCTCCGAACCTGCCCTCATCTTGGATTATGGGTGAGCCGAGACCTTTTAAGCATTTACCGTGACTGCTGGTGACCTCATCTTACACGACAGTATATTTATTTAGTAATTCGACTGCTAAATGTTTAGTATGGGGTACGCCCTCACCTTTTGTATATATTTCGATTTCGAATATGTTTTTTAACCATCCCAGCTACTTAGGCTTACTATAAGCTTGTGCCCACGGTCAATGACTTAGTTAATAAAGCTAATCTACCAGATGAACTATTTGTATTTTGAAGCGGGTTGGCTGTCTGCACGCGGATTTATGATATCAGACATCATTTTTTGTTGCTGTGGTCTGTTTGAGTGGTACTTACTTCGGCTACATAAAGGTTTTGGAGATCAAAAACACGTTTTTAGACATATGGCTCCTCATCATTGCTGTATTTGTTTACTTACCAGCCTGTGTTCACCTCTAACCTTATTTATACCATACACACTTTCATAAAGCACAACATTGCCTTTATTGTAGATTCCTCAAATTTAAACACGCGGATGTAAGTTTGTCCCAGCATGTATTTGAATAGTTATGATTTCGAGATTTCCTAATTAGAAATCCACAAATAATGGTTTTTTTACTCTTTCTTTAGAAAACGGACTGCTCGTTGTGATTTTCGCGCTAATAACGACGCATATTTTTCACAAACCGTCTTTCAAAATATGACCTTACTTGGAAAACACATGCACCAGTGTGTATTGCTGTACAAGTCCATAAATGCAGTTTCGACAGTATCCTTAGTATTGAACGTTGAGACTTGAATGCTACAGAGCTGTTCTGTATCCATAGCGGTTCCTCAATGAAGGTGAAGAAATTTTATATTAAGGAATTCGAATTAAAGCGCGTACAATGAGGTCTGAGTTTTATCTGATTGGGTGAGCCCATAATACCGATCGGTATCGACTGACTTCAAGAACCTTACTGAGAAGTCCAAAGCACGTCGGGATGAGTATTGCCCGTAAACCAGGTCGGGGAGCGCAACGCCGAAGAGCCAACATAGCAACTGACACGACGTTGGACTAAGTGACGCCCATTGGTCGTTTGTGCGTCAAAATGTGAGTTTATGTGGGGTTGGCTAACAACAGCTAGTGGACAAACAATGGTTTTTCCTTTCTTTTTGTCATTCGCCTTGTGCTCTACAGTGAAGTCCAGTTACACTGGGATATGGCTTTCCTGTAATTTATTGACTAACCCAATTACAGAAATGTGCTGTCCGTGCGGAAGTAAATTTCTGTAAAACTACTTCCAATATTCCTTTTAGTCGTCGTGCTACTACAAATTGTGGTAGTTTATGTCAGATAGTACGGTGTTCATTCATGACTACTGTCACAGTCCAAAATAACTCACAGTAATGGACGACAAAGGAATAGGCGTTGGTCTCTCCAATACCGCTACACGAAATCCTAGCAGAAAGCGTGAACGGACCTAGAAATCTCAAGTTCGCCATCATATCACGGACCCTTCTGGGTAGGACACGGTAAAAATTGTGATACGTAGGTGCCTGTGATCGACTGGTCGCGTTACAGCGTCTGCGCCAAAAGAACTTCAGGACGGCGGTAAAAAATATGATGTTGGGGATCTAAGTAGTTTCAGGGTGGGTATTGCGATATGTTTTGACCGTAAGAAAAAATAAACGAACATCTCCCGAAATGTTAACCGGAATTCTGTTATATCGTTTGATTTTGAGAGATTACCCTAATAGGGGCTGTATTAATAATTACTGTGCTTCAAAATCGATTAATATTTTATTTTTTCCAAGATGCCGGTTTTTAAATAACTACTTTGGCCGTCAGCATAAACGATGTTCTGTGAAAAATGGCCACTTACAGATATATATATATATATTGCCAATTAAAGCGAAAATGCGCGTCCCCGGGGATAAATGAGAAGAAGAGGCGATCTCGGGAACCATAGTTTGAATAGCCTGACATTTCAAAAGCAAACAAGCTTCAGTCGTTGGAGGTGGGTTCTGTACGTCGCATCACAGTATTTATGTGAGGCGCCGTTTAGAACCCACCTCCGACGACTGAAGCTTGTTTGCTTTTGAAACGTCAGGCTATTCAACCTATGGTTAACGAGATCGCCTCTTCTTCTCATATATATATATATATATATATACTATGTCATCCTTTGCCATTGATTGGTCATGTCTTTCTTGATGTAATTATATTTTGTAGGAATAAATGCGCTATATATTTGTTGTTGTATTTATTTGAGGATGATTTGCGTTTTCGTCAAGTATTGCAATTGAATGGAGCCTATCATTTGGCTTTAGTGTCGAGGATACTTCTGCGTAGGAAAAAATAAAAATTGTGATAGGGTGATAAATAGGTAACTGTGACCAAATGGACGCGTTAGAGCGTCCGTGCTGAAAAAATTCCAAACCTTAAAAAAAATAAGACAAACATTTCCCGAAGTGTGAACCGTAAGTCTGTAATATGGTTTTGATCTTAAAAGATTACTTAAGAAATGTTGTATTAATATTTATTTTACGTCGAGATGCCGGCTTTCGAATAAACTATTTTTTGCAGTCAGCCTAAACGAGGTTTTGCGAGCAATGGCTACGTATATATTATGCCATTCTTTGCCATGGTGTTCTAGAGGTAATTATATTTTGTAGGAATAAATGCGCTGCATATTTGTTGTTGCACTCAGTTGAGGATGAGTTGCGTTTTCATCAAGTATTGTAATTGAATGGAGCGTATCATTTGGCATTAAAGTAGTTTCTTATTATGAGGTTTCTTAAGACCATAAGATGACTATTCAAGCAGCACTAAATCATCAAATTCACTGATGTTCACACAACCATTGCACAATTTTATGAGTCGCATACGCTATCTTCCTAACATTGAGGAGAAAATTGTAACAGTCTTTTTACAACATGTAGAAAGCATGCAGACCCAAAGACCTGAAAGCAAAATCAACGATACGTGGGCCAGGACCTTCCGTAACACATGTTGTTTTTAAGTGTTAAATTTAAGAAGATGAAATTTGCCATTCAATTACTACAAAAATATTTTTATGCTTATTCTATATAAAAAACGCACATCGATTTGATAAGTTTTCCAAAATCTACAAAAAATGCATAATACATAAGTAGTAACTTTTTTGCAAAGCGCAATTCTTAGACGGCCAAAAACAGGTTTATTCAAAAACCGGTATCCTGACATGATTGAGATATCTTAGGATTATGTTGCACGTCAATTAATATTACACGCCCGCCTAAGCGATCCTTTAGAATCAAAAAGATGATCCAGAATTTCGGTTGACATTTCATGAGATAGTACATATACTGCCGATGTGCAGGGGAGGCAATAATACCTGACACACGTCCGTAGTCGATTTTACTGGAAAACATTAACCCCATTAGCAAAACGCACCCGCAAATTATGGGGAGATTCGTGTTATCAAAGGAAAACACTTGTGCTGTTAATGGGTTTAGTTGATAACTATGCCCCTTAGTGCATTGCCCAGTATAAGAAATGAAAACTATTAGAGTAAACAGATTTTGGGCGATTATGTTTGTTCATTAGTCAAATCAAAGCGTAACTAGTAACAAATGACGAATAATGATGGTGAATTAAATAAGTAATAAAATGGAGCCCCTAAACAGAAGTAAAAGAATGAAATCTGGTAGTCAGGTTAAGTATCTCAATGCAAATATCACTGATATATAAAAGGTTCGGAGTCACTTGCTGTTAATAGTGCGTGTGATGCATATAAAAACACATATATATATATCGAATTTGGCGGGAAAACTTGTCCGTGACTCGGTGGTAAAACCGCTGGACTCCCATCAAACGAAATGCCAGATTGAGCCTGGAGGTTTACAGAAGCTGAGGATGCGTATGGGTGGCTAGTGACGGTTAATGAGCCAGAAGTGGCCCTTTTGGTCTATTCGTCCTAACTATGACTAACTGAAGTTGAGTGCAGTCCGAGATAACACAATGAAAAGCGGAGGCTTTTCGAAAAATCCGGTGAAATACGGTTTACTGAAAAGTATTTTTTAATATTAAGTTTTTTATATTAATTTGTAATTTGAGAAAATATCATGTTTAGGACATGGAGTTAAGTGCCCTGAATAAACATGTCATATATATTGCGACAATCCTTATTTTCACTGACGGTTCGGATACGTCCTCGTTCCCATCTTCGTAGTAGTGTGCCTGCTGCTTCTGCTGGTTTTGAGTTATTTCGATTTGCCGCTTGCCTCGTATCACAAACCTGTCCAACGCATGTACGACAGCCTGCTCGTTTGCTGCTGACCTTCTTTATACTCTTTGCAGCCTCCAGCAGGGGGGGTAGGTGCTCGCGTGACCTTTTTCCCCATTTGGGGTAAGCGCATTTTTATTCAAGTCAGCGTGCCTGTTGACATTCCTTACGTCACTCAGCGGACCTGTCAGTGGTTCCTAATTTCACGAGTACGCCGATGAGAGAGTGTTCGACGCTGGCATCATGACCCCTGGCTGCCAGCTCCCATCTTTTCCGGAGAGTTGATTCTCGGCTCTGTGTGCTAGCCTGGCGTATTGAACGTGCCCATACTGATCCATTCTTATTCGCAGATCATGTTAGGCGGGATGCAAGCCTATAGATCGGTTTCGTGTACCAGTCGAGGGCCGACTTTCGGAGTTTCAGTCTGACCATATCATCTTTGGCTGGGTCGATTACTCTTGCATTCTCAAAAGCGAAATGGTGGTTCGCCCGTTGTATGTGACTATAAACCAAGGACAGCTTCCGCCTGTTCTTGACTATGTGTTACTGTTCGCGCAATCTTTGGACAAGGAGTTTGCAGGGTCAAAAACGGTCTTTGCATTCCAGTCTTAAATTGGTATGTTGTAAATCACTGCTGGTTGATCTGTTAATGTTAGCGGATGTTTGGGCTTTGTGGTTTACTGACTGGTGGCGCGTTCTGGTTTATGAATAACAACTCCGAAGCGTTTTTCACACAGGGAAGTTAGAGTCCAAATTTTGGTTTTACTCCTCTCGGCCGCTCAAAATGAGGCTTCTTTAGGCTCTTACGTACAATGCCCTTAGAACAGTCGGTGTTATTAAACAGGATGTGCAATTGCTCTTTCTCTTTCATTTACTCACTATCGTCGATACAGGGCGTTTGAAAACTTTGGAAGAGGACTTTCACTAAGACGCGTTTGTGAACACGAGGTGGTTGATTCGTTAATGGACGATGCGCCTACTATTGGCTGAACGACGATATACTGTTGTTATTAGCATATTGTCTGCCAAATATTGTGACTTGTACGTCAAAGAAGGACAGGAGATTGTTGACTTCCTTCTCTATATTAGACTTTTTGACTTACGCCCAAGAAGCCTACACGTCGCTCCTAATGATTATGAAAGTCTTGTCCAGCGATCTAGCGCAGAACTTCGGAGGGTTCGAGCCGCCGCAACCCCGTTTCGGCAATTTGCGCAGGCAAGGGCTTGCCCATCAGTGTCTCCTTCACTTTTTCATAGACCTGACCATAGAACGTACAAAATATCTTAGGTCACAGCCCTAGAAACTTAATCATATGCAGTCACCTGATCTTCTAGACTTTATCAGCATTTTATTGCCGAAGAAAACTGTCAACACTGCCGACAGCCAGGGCAAATGGGCCA